TGCAAACTTGCTGAGAGTGCATTCTTTGCCATCTTCCAGCACATCGTTGAAGATATTGAACAAAACCAGCCCCAGGACTGACCCCTGGGGCACTCCTCTTGAGACCAGCTGCCAACTAGACATCAAGCCATTGATTACTACCCTCTGAGCCTGATGATCCAGACAGTTTTGTATCCACTTTACAGTCCGTTCATCCAACCTCTACTTCCTTAGCTTACTTGTGAGAAAGTTGTGGGAGACCATATCAAAAGCCTTGCTAAAGTCAAGGTATACCATATCTGCTAGTCTCCCCACATCTACAGAGCCAGTCATCTCATCATAAAAGACAATCGGGTTAGTAAGGCATGACTTACCTTTGGTGAATCCATCTGGACTGTTCCTGATCACCTTCTTCTCCAAATGCTTAGAAATAGATTTCTTGAGGACATGCTCTATACTTTTTAGCTGAGACTAACTGGTCTGTAGTTCCCTGGCTCCTCCTTTTTCCCCTTCTTAAATATGGGCACTATATTTGCCCTTCTACAACCATTTGGGACCTTTCACAATAGCCTTGAGTTTTTGAAGATGGTGGCCAGTGGCTCTGCAATCACACTGGCCAACTCCCTCAGCACACTTGGGTGCATCCCATTCAGCCCTATGGACTTGTATATGTGCAGCTCTTCTAAATAGTCCCCAACCTGTTCTTTTATCACAGTTGGCTGCTCACCTCCTCTCCAAACTGTGCTGCCAGGTGCAGTAGTCTGGGGGCTGACCTTGCCTGGGAAGGCTGAAGTGAAAAGTGCATTGAGTACATCAGCCTTTTCTGCATCCTTTGTCGCTTGCCTCTCCCATTCAGTAACCACCACCCATCACTACTTCTTTTGTATGTTTGAAATGAAGTATTTGCTAAGCTTTTGCAGGATTAGAGTTGTACATGGCATGCTAGTCTTCAGTGCAGGAAATATCAAGATGTCTTTCACCTGTACTCTGCTCTCAGGAAAAGGACCCTTGTTTCTCTAGAGATTCCTGTTCTCCTCTGATGATTAGCTTACCACTGAAGCCATTACTTTGGATTTAAAATTTTTGGAGAGTCCAGTATTCTGTTGTGGTAACTGGCTCTTTAAATTTCAGAGAGACAGTTCTGTGAAGTAGTTTTATTCCCAATTATTGTAAGCTTTAGCTTCCTACCTTTCTATTATTAAATATATAATTCCTTTCATGTACTGTCTCTTTTTTTCTCCTCATTTCTTCTTTTCCCTTCAAAAACATTGTTTTTTTAATATTTTATTGGAATTTATTAATAACATGAAGTAAAAGAATAGTTTCCTGTAAGTCTTTCTATCAGTTTTATATTTTGCAAAAATCCTATTTTGCCAAACCAAAATTTGATCTGCAGAATTAAAATATTCCCTGCTTTCCTCCTTGGCCAGGTTTATCACAGACATGAATAAAGACTGTTTCTTGCTTATTAAAAAATAACTGAGCGTATATTTGTATTCATAATGTACCACTCATTATTTGTTAGGTCTGTCACACTAGTAACAGGTTCTGCTGGGTTCTGGTGAAGTTAGCAGGACCTCGGAAAAGACTAGACCTCTGGGCAGGACAGTACAGATATTTTTGTGTGAACTGCTGCATATATTTGGAGAGAATAAGAGCATCTTACCATTTTTACTTAAATATAAGTTTAGTTCCCCCTCCCCCTCCATCCACATGAGGGGAAACCCCCTCATCTTACATTTGCATATAAGGATAGCTCACTAAATACATGATCTATTATTAAAGATAAGCAAGTGAACAGACGTTCACTTTTGATGTCGGAAATACAGCCACATGCCTGCTTTGCCCAAAGCCAGAGGGGTGGGAGCAGCGCTAGAGTATGCCTCCCTGCCTGGTTGTAGCAGACAGCGTGAGCCAAGGCTTAGTCCACCTACCGTGCGAGGGAGGGGTTTGCAGGGGAGATGCAAAGCATCCTGGGATGCTGGGAGACTGTTAGTTAACTTGACTCTGGAGGGGATCTGGGACAGGTCAGTAAACTGCTTTAACATAAATCAGTTAAGTCTGATGCTACATCCATCCAAATTTATCTTAAACCAGTTTCAGCATTGTGTTACAGATTTGAATCAGCTTCCTATCACTTATACCATTTTATGTTTAATTTCTGTCCCTAGCTACAACCAAGGCCAGTTCAGAGAATGATGGCATTTGGCCATAAACTAAACAGGCAGCTGACACAGCTGCCTCCTGCTGGTAAATCTGTTGGGATTGGGGGGGGGAGTATGGGCTGGGGCTGAGACAAGTTGCCCAGCTGGGGTGGGGAGGCGCATTACTCAGGGAGGGGGGTGCAGGATGCAGGCACGGCAGTGCTGGGACAAGAGCTATGCTCTGCTGCCACTTAGCCCTTTCTTCCCTGAGTGAGCTGCGCCTGCATTGCATCCCACCCACCCCCCTCCATGTGCCGGCTGGGCAAGCAGCAGCAGGGCATAGCCCCTGCTCCCAGTGCTGCCACGCCCGCATCAGCACTGGGGGTGGGGACTCTGCACTGGTGCTGCATGCCAGCTGGCACAGGGGGTGCGGGATGCAGGTGTGGCAGTGCTAGGAATGGGAGCTATGCCGTGCTGCCACTTGCCCCCTTCTGCCCGCAGCTAGCTGTGCCCTCATCCCGCCTTTCCCCACCCTGGCTGGACAAGCAGCTGCAGGGCATAGCCCCCACTCAGAGTGCTGCTGCACCCACATCCCACGCCTGCGTGCCCTCCTCCCCAAGTCCCATGCCCCCTGCCCCAGCTGGGCAGCTTGTCCCAGCCCCAGTCCCTCCCTCCCCCATGCCCTTTCCCTCTCCCCACCCCCAACAGACTTACCAGCTGGTAAGCCTGTTTAGTCTATGGCTGAATCGCCGAATCTTTTCCGAGTTTTTTTCCGAATCAATTAGGATTCTTTGAATCAATTCAGAGATTTTAATTGGTCTCCCGATTCGATTTGTATTTGGAGATTAGGTCGCTGAATCTTTGCACAGTCCTAGTGTACAGGTTCAGTTCAACCTTGGTTTCTAGATGGATCCAACATATGGGGAAGATTTTATGGCAAGAGAGACAGAAAAAGACTACATTTACCATATTTTCTTGCTTACAACATGCCCTGGAATAAGATACAGTACCTTATTTTTGAAAGTCAGAAGGAATTTTAATTCCTTTCGTGTAGTAAGTAACTGAGTAGCAGCAATGTGGGAGCCCAGCCTCTCCTTTTTTCTGCTTTCTTTAGATTCCATGCAGACTTTACTTTCACTTTTGCACAGCAGAAGCCTAGGTGGCAGAAAGTGCTGTTACTGTATTTCTTCATTTACATTGTGCTCTCCAATTTTCAGCATTAGTGTTGTGTGTGGAAAAAATATGGTACAGCAAAAGCTCTGTTATCCGGTACCCATGGGAAATGGGGCATGCCAGATAACCAAATGTGCCGGTTATCTGAGAGGCATCTTTGCCTGGTCGGGCAAAGACGCCCCTCCCGCCATGTCCGGCGCATCCACATCTCATTAACCATGCTGCCCCTCCCCTGGTGTCAGTGTGCCAGGGAAAAGGGAGGAGGTGCTCTGAGCAGGCTGCTTTACCCTGCACAGGCTGCTTTACCCTGGGCTATGGGATTCAAAAAAATCAGAAGTCCCACTTCTGGTTTCCCTTTTGCTGCATTGACCGGCGTTAACTGGCATGCCGGTTAATGAAGTGCTGGTTAACATGGCTTTTACTATATATGGGTGTTGGTGAGATTTCAGGCTGAAGGAAGGTAGAGAATTTAGAAAGACTGCAGACTTCAGTCTTACCACAGAAAAGACTTCACAGTCTGTATTTATCATATAATTTGCAAAGTATTTATATATTTTCATACTGTATAAGACTTTTGCCACTTATTTACATAGTCGGCATGCTCCAGCTCAGGTGCTTTTGCTGTAGATTGTAGCTTTGCCATGTTAGAAATACGAACACCTGGAATTTCTTTAATCTTTTTTTGGGTAGTTTCACAGAAAATGAATTTCTATAAGTCTTGCTCAACCAGATTCTCTACAGAATTCCAGGTAATAGAATTTGTGCCTCTCCTAGTATAACATCTGGGCTAGAAGAACATACATATCCAGAAGTTTTTTCCTATCTTGGTGATTGTAGCTATTAGTTTGCTGCTTTTCCATTTTGGGGGATTTTGGCAACATACCAGTGTAATTGTGAAACGATCATTAGCTTTTTTCATTGCTTAGCCTTTAGTATTGTATTACTTGAATCTTGAAGCAAAATTAATTGCTCCTTCTGTAAAGTGCAAGTCTCACACCAAGGATGAAATTTACTCCTTTCCAAAAGGACAGAAGGCAGCATGGTATAATATGTAGCATATTAATTCCTCTGGCATTCAGGCATTTTTTTGTAGTTACTGGTCAAAACAGGGATATTTATTTGAGAAAGCGTTCAGAAAGTTAGATAATGACAAAATATTTTTAAATGGTGTACTGGAAGTCATTCCAACATGCAGGAAGAGCACGGGAGAAGGATAGAGACATTTAATAAGAAGGAGGCAGAAGTGTCACAGTGAAGAGTCAAGTGAGACAAGATAGTGGTGCGTGCCCAGTAAAGGACCTTAGCCTTGAAAATGATGCGGGGGAAGATGTGCAGTTACTGGAAAGACTTATAAGTGAATGGGCCGTACGGGTAGGTTGTTTTGCATGAAATGAATGGGAAAAGATGGTTATAGTAATCCAGGTAGGAGACTGTCGAGGCTTGGACAAAGGTTTTAGCAATATGGCTGGAAGGAAAGATCTCTTTGGATCTGAGATTCTGAATATGTTTCCCATATACCTTTAAATAAAGCTTTATGTGGAATATTAATGGAGTTGAAACTCTTAAGTGCTAACATGATCCCCATAGATTAATTTATTTTAGAAAAACAAGTATAATCATTGTATACAACCCTATTTTATACAACCTGGGAATATGAACAAAAAAGCCCACTTCAACAACTGTTCTCTGCTTACATTTATTAAGTTGTGCAACAAATGGATAATATTATACAAGAAACTATCAACTACACTCGGCAACGAAAAATATTCAACCAGCCACTGCTGAACAACCAAATAGTGCACTTTCGCCTGGCAGAGTTAGCAACTGAAGTGGAACTTCTTCGTTCTCTGCTCTACCGGGCTGTTGGTAAGCTTCTGTATTTCCCTTATATTTAGCTAATATTTCTATAATATAAGAAATTGTGCTTATATTTGGCCTATATTTACCTTATATTTAGTTGGTAAGCTTCTATATTTACCTAGTATTTTCTTAATATTAAGGACATTGTTGTAGTTGGAAGCATATGGGGAGAGGTCTGGGACTGAGAAAAAATAGTGGTTGTTGATTTACTGTAAAAACTTGTGTTTTAATTTTAGCTCTGTATATAAGAGGCAATGATGTGACCAGATTTGCTTCCATGGGTAAGCTAAAGGCAGGCCGCCTAGCCCGTAAGCTGTCTGATGATTGTCTCCAATTCTGGGGAGGAATGGGATTCACCAATGAAGTGTCAGTGAGCAGATTTTACAGGTAAGCATTTGGTAAGAACAGTGCAAGCCTTGACTCTGCTTTAACTGATATGAATAACACAGAACACAGAAAATACTCAACATGGGATGTTTGATTTTTTTTTCCCAATTTTTCTACAAAATGTAAAAGACTTGGGCCCGATCTTCAGTTGAATTAAATGTTATTCCCTTGAACTCAATATAGTTACATTAATTTACACTGGCCAAGGCCCTGATGCTTTGATTGTCGTTAACAATTTAGGGCCTAATCCTGTAAAGGAGGGGTTGGCAACCTATGGCTTTCAGAGCCTTTGGATCCAGCCCATGAAGTGGTGGCTTTGGCAGCATTCAGTGGTAGGGGCTCTTCCTGCACCACCTCTGTCAGCTGCCTGGGGCTCTGGCATTGTGGGAGCTCTGTCCATGTCACACTGCAGTCTAGCAGGACTGGCTCTGGCAGAGAGGGGCTTGCACTATGCCATGCTGCAGTTGAATGGTAGCCAAGTGACAGTGGTAGAAGAAGTGGCAGTAGCAGCTGTGTCCTAATGTCTGTCTCTCCCCAATCCAAGCTGGGTTATTCTGTGCCCCCTCCCCCTTCTGGAAAAAATTGCTGACTCCTTGACTCCTTGTACAAAGGGATCCAAAAGACTGGAATCTTGTTGATGTTATTGTGATTCAGCTTGGGTGTCAAAATAAGGGAGCATGGATGAATATCCTGTTTCCTAAATCAATCAGGGCCTTACATGATAATTGTGTAGATTGATCTACTCAAAGGCTGGTCTAAAGTTTAAGTGAAGGGAATGGCCACTAGTGGGGCCCCACATCCTTCTGCAGTTCTCTGTTTGCCCTTAGGCAATAAGACCAGAGAGAGAGAGACTTCATTGACCAGTCCCTTCCTGTTTGGCTAGTAGTTGCCTGCCTATCCAAGGTGCTAAGTGCCCGTGGTACAAATTACAGGAACAGAGATAAAATGAAACATCAGCTTGGTCCTCAACTCTACAACAACCAGCAGAACTCAGTGTCTCACAAAAGCATATGTATCTGCTTGAGTCTCTTATAGGCTTCTGTGTTTTAAACTTTCTACTCTGTTGTAAACATTGAAGGCTCCTATGAGCCTATCTGTAGCCTGTGCTCTGTTCCCCGATGTTCTCCTCTAGTCATCTGTATAGAATTACTTCAGATGCCCCTACCTAGTATACAGGTAGTCCTCGGACTTACGACAATTCGTTCCTGAAAACCACGTCTTAAGTCGAAATGTCGTAACTTGGAACCTATTTTCCCATAGGAACAATGTTATAAATAGGGGATTGGTTCCTGAACCAAGGCCCAATACCCTAGTTTCAACAAAAATAACCCAGAATTTTGTAGTCAGTCAATTTTAGATGAGTAATATAGCTACATTAATGTATTTATATTGTAAATAGCAATCATATTGATTTGGAAGGACTTCTTTGAGGTGACTTTGCTGGACTTTTTGAAGGGTTCTTGGCTGGAGTCTTCTCAGTAGTCTTGGCAGCAGGTTCTTCTGGAGTCTTGTCTACTTTCTTAAAGAAGGTGTCTAAAGAAGTTTGGATAGATGTTCTCCAGGGAGATGGGCGATACAGTGAACTTGTTCACTGGCATGGCGTTGTGTCAGACCAAGCGTTGTAAGGTCGATACTGATGTCAGAAAGTCATAACAGGGTGTCAGTTTATAAACATTGTAAGTGCCCTTCATTGTAACTCAAAATATCTCAAGTCAAGGACTACCTGTACAGGAGACGTGTGTTCCTCCCATGTCATTTCTGATCTTAAAGTGGAGCAAAAAAACCTTGCACTGACTGCACGGTATGAGTAGATTTTACCCAGACTCCCAAAAGTATCAAAGGGAAGATGGCAAACTACAAAGGCGGAGCTATCTGAGAACCACCTAGTAATAATAATTGTGGATGAGAAAAACTGGATCTCAAGATTAACAGAATAGTCTGTAAGAAACATGTTTTGTATGAGAAACTAGCAGCTTGAAGTAGATTGCTGGCTCCAATATATTGTATTCTTTTGGAAGATACCAATATTCTGTCTATTAAATTATTGCTGTATTCATTGTTGTGTAAAGTAAATATGGAATTCAAATTTTCCTGATACAGCACATTTCAGCTCGTATATCAACCTTCAAAACAAGACACTTAATAATATCTTAGTGGAGTTAGAGTTTAAATATACTACTCCTGCATAAAGTGACATTAGAAAAACAGAAAGTTATATAAAGCTTCCTTCTTTAGAGCATGTTACTTAGGCCTAGGCCTGTGCTAAGTGGCTAGTATTCGCTTTCGATTTAGATATGGATGATTTGGGGGACAGTGATTCGATTTCGTGATTCGATTTCATGATTCAAATCACTGTCCCAAATTGATTCAGCCAAATCTGATTCAGAGATTGAAGGCTGGGAGATTGTGGTAGCTGCAATCTTCTTGCAGCAAGGTATGATGGGATCTAATCCATGATCCCACAGTTGCCTTGCATCCCTGCCATGTATGTATGATTCTGTTACTAGCAACCTCTTCTGGTAAACCAGTGGAAGGGGAAACTGTTTAAAAATATCTTTGATTTTAAACTACTGTCTTTTTCCTACCGAGTCTTCAAAACCAATGAAATGCTGAAGCAAGCTCAGCTGCATTAGCCATAGTGTGGCAGTGTGAGAATTCCCCAACTGACACACAAGTAGCAGTGTATGTTCCCCATCCTCCAGAGTACTTTTCTTTGAGCTTTGTGCCCCTTTAAGAACATGCTGCTATTGTGCTATTGGCAATGGTGCTAGAATATTCATGTTTGGGAGTGGGGGGAATGAGGGTGCATTATTACTACTGGTTTATTATTTACATTACCATGCCCTCCAGGTGTCCCAGGTACATACCAGGACCTTAGTGCTAGATACCATACAAATACCAATGAAAAGATGGTCCCTAAACCACAGAAACATTTATCAAAGTTTTTTCATTTAAGTGGGAAATGAGTCACATGCATGTATATTGCTTACATTTGACTTTGGAGCTCTGAATTCTTAGTGTTAGTACTTTTGTGTCTTCTGGGGAGCATTACAGCCAACTCTGTGATATAGCTGTTTTGGACCCATTCTAGGATAGTTACTAAGCAGAATAGTGTAGTTGTGTACTTGCTCCCCAGTTGGAAAATCCAGAATATCCTGTTTCTGCCACTCTGTATTAAAGAAGCAGATCTTTGAACCCTCAAAGGAAACAGCATTATAAATGAGTCCAAAGGACACATGATGTCTACACTCCAAAACTTCGTTATGACCTAGTGGAATTCCATTGTAAGGTAATCATACTTGTCAGGGACACAAAAGTAAGACTGTTTCCAAAAAGTACAAACGTAGGTTCACCCTGTTTTCCTCTTAATCTTGAGCGATAAGCAAATCCACAAGTCTCCTAATACTATCTCCTTTTACAACAAAGTCTGAGTAATTGGTTCACATCACCATGATGTTTATAAAGTAGCTAGCAGCTGGTAAGCACTGCATTCAGTCACACCATTTAAAGGTTGAATTTATTAATGATATTGGTGGGAGATGTTAACTAGACCCTGTACAAAATTGTCAGCCAACTTTTTTTATTAACTGGTGTTATTTTTAGATCGGTAGTCCTTAATTAAGTTGTTCTCCGAAATATTTCTTAAGTGTACTTATTGTATTGTATAGAAGGAACTAATGAAGGCTAGTTCCCCTGCACCCAGGTGACATTTCCTAAATGTTTCTCCTTTTTGTTTTTCAGTAGAAGCTTTTGTTTTGTTTTGTTTCATTTTTCATTGGTGTTTTTTTTATGTGAGGGAAAGAAAAACAGCTGAGCTTGCTGATTCCAAATGTGAGGATTTTGCACCTTCAGAACCTCGAATGTCTTGCTGGAACTCCATCATTCTAGAGAAGGAGATTCAAAGAGAATGGTATTTCAGGCCTGACTCTAACAACCAGGGTAGACTGAGTAAAATTCAGTCTGACAACTGGAGTGTGTTCCATTAGACACTAAACCAATTTCTACTTTTACCTGATCTGTACAGGATAATTTTGAAAAAAAACTTGGGTAGCAGCAATGGGCATTAATATCCATGCCTAAATGCATTGCTGGTGCCTGTGCTGTACTAATTTGGATGAAGGAATGTCATGGGTAATACAAACAGCTCAAACTTTTTCCACAGTACCAAAATTTCCCTTTAATATATACCTTTGAATATATTACCTTTGATCTTTTTAAAAAATATATCTGCCTATATCTGAAGATTTGAAAGAGCATGAGATAAATACTTGAGAGTGGTTTAGTGTAGTGTAAAGAAAGTCATGCTGCTATCCTGCAGTTTAGCTGGGTGTAGCTAGCCAAAAAGAACCCTGCCCTCCTCTCTCCCTCTCCCAAAATAGGGAGAACAGTAACTGCTAATAAAGTCACACAGTAGAAGCAGCAGCTTCTAAAACAGCCTGCCAGAAAATAGTAATAACCCAAGATGCATAAGTCATTAAAAAAAAATTAAGCAAGGTATGATACAAACACCTTCCTAACCAAGAAACCTTTGAAAAGGATAAAGGGAATAAAAGACCTTCTTACGATAAAATCACTGTCATGAAGCTGATGCCAGAATGAAACATAGAAGTTGAACCAGCGCATGTGCATTACAGGCAATTCTGTCTTCCAGCACAAGTTATCTTTTTCTTTCCCACATCAAAGGAGAGTTAGCAGTTCCAAAAAACCCTTCCAAAAAGGAAAACTTCAAATTATCTAATTCCTCATAATAACTCAGCCTGTTTTGAAGATTAAGGCATTCTGAAACTGCAGCAGCTTCTCTCATATAGTTAATGAACAAAGAAATACCTTTCCAAGATCACAGAGATTATTTCAAGTGGAAAATGTAATTTTTGGGGGTGGATACAAGCACTGAACAGAGGCAGCTCAGCTATAGAACTTTATATATAGCATTACTGGCATGGCACTGCACAGGCTTTTCATTGTGGAATTAATTGTAATCCATAGCCTTTGCATGGCCC